TAGCTTGTAATTCTGTTGTATTAAACATTTGATGAATTTGGACCATTCTGTTCTAAACGATTGTCCTTGAAAGAATCTAACGACCGACTCATTGTGTGTAAGTGTCAAAACTGGCAGAGATCTGGAATTATGTTAGATTCTCCGATAGACGAATTTGAACCATTGTGTCCTGAACGAATCTAAGACCATCTCTTTGTGTATGTGTGAACTAATAATGGTCTAGAGTCATATTGGATTAATCATTAGAAGATTTCAAACCATTACCTCTTGAACGAATGTCCATGAACGAATCTGTTGACCGGCTTCTTGTATATATTGCAGTATGCATATGCGTGTGTGTCCTAGCAGTGCTCTGGAATTATATTGGAATAACCGTCAGACAAATTTGAACCCTTGTGTCTCCCGAACGAGTGTCCCTGAACGAATCTAACCACCGGTTCTTTTTCTGTGTGCGCAGAGGCCTGGAGGCGCGTGAGGCGGCGGCCGGGGCGAGGCCGGCCGGGACAGCGCGGCGCTTGCCGCTGCACCATGCTCAAGATCGGTAAGGGGCTCGGTAAGAAGAAGGCCAAGAAGAAGGGCAAGAAGAGCAAGAAGGGCGAGGACGACGACCTCTTCGACCCCGCGGAGCTAGAGGAGTACCGCCGGCGCCAGCAGCAGCTCCGGCAGCAGCAGCTTGAGCAAGGTGAGTCAAGCGCGAGAACGGGTCTTAGGAACGAGTCCTGAGAACGGGTCTTGGAAACGAGTCCTGAGAACGGGTCTTGGAAACGAGTCATGAAAACGGGTCTTGGAAACACCTCCTGAGGAGGGGTCTTTGGAACGAATCTATAATTCTATAACGAAACTTACAAACGCCTCTTAATCTTAGGGAACGGTTTGTGCACCAGAAACGCGAAAATATAATAAATTAATAACTTAATACATCACGCTATTATTGTTGTTATTATTGATATTTTTATTTTGTTTAAACGATTAATGAAAAAAGGTTAACGGTGACCGGATTAGCGAGGCCGGAAAGAGCACATACAATATAGTCAATATTAATTGCAACTTTTTTGGGTTTTGCATTTTGTATTTATCAGACGCATACCAACGCGGGGAAGGGGAGCGTAGTCCAATCACGGTAACTTTTTTCCGCATGTTTGTTTAGATAAAAAGTAACTGTTTCATTATTTAAGACTTTTATGATTGGCGGGAGGGGGTCTTTGGCGTATCTTGGTAATTTTTTCCTGTCTCTTTAGGTTAGAAGTTATTGTTTCATTATTTAGGTTTGTTATAATTAGAACTTTTTTGAACACATAGTTGTAGTTTCGTTTTTATCTCTTATCGGACGTTTACAAAACAATTCAAACCGTCATCATACGTAATCACTTCGTGTGAAGAGCATTTCGACATTCCCTGCGCTCATTAACACATTAATTAGTTATTTATGCTCCAAGGATGTCATATTAGTTATAATAATCTCGGATGGCAAAATGTCCGAGAGCCTTTGGCTCGAAGGCTATTTGTCGGACGAAATCATTAAAACCAGTTAATGTCTATTTTATATTCATAATTTTAATTTTTACGTATTTTATTGATTCAGATTTACTTATGTACTAATTAACTATATATTTACTTGGCTTGGTTTGTCCTTTCATATTTTCTCCCCTTAATTATTTCTTATAATTCCCGCCCTAAGATATCTAAGAATAAGTTTATAAATCTGTTTTCATACTTCCATCGTAAGCACGATCTTTTCAATCCAGAAAAGTTATGCATATCGAGCTCAGAATCGAAGGCAATAACAAACTATATCGTATCAGTCAAAAATAAATACTATTTTAATGTCAATGTAGAGAATTGTTGTGCTGTCTAAGGAACATATTGCATGTTAAATTAATTCTTCAGAAGAAGGATGTGGTCTTTTTTATCCCTGTGAAAAGAACCATAAGTAGAGAAAATTTTCAGAATATATATGGATTTGCCATACCTCAATCACTGGAAATATTTTAACGCAAGCTCTCTGAGTAATATTTGTACGGTTGTAATATTGTCAAATACGTGTGGAACTACTTCTTAAATATAAATATTTCCATCAATTATTTCCCAAACTATCAAAATACTAGGCATTGCCCAGACTTTCTTCATATCCATTCCTCGTGAAAGAGGAATAAGATTAATTTTATATAAACCACACAGTTTAAGATTATTACTTTTAATGTAATTGGTTTCTGTTTTGGTAAATACTATACCTTTGTTTCGTTTTATTTTACAGTATTAAAATATTGCTATTAAATCAAAAGTTTTATTTTACGCACCGATACTGTAATCTAGGGAATCTGTTATGTATCAGTTCTGCTGCACTACTATCGCCTCTAGCAAAATATATTACCCAGTCTGCTCTTAGCGACAGATTAAACATTATGATTGTGGTGAATATCCTAACATATTATATAAATTATTTATTTGTGTTGCATTAAACTTTACTAAACCTCTGAGGACGTTCCAAACACGCTGCCTGCGCTTGCAGTGCAGGGATAAAAGTTGTGCATTATTCTCTACATTTACATTGATGAACCAAAATTGTATTTGTTTTTTACTAATATGTTATTGTTTTTGATAAACACTGTACAAGTTACCTGGACTGTGAGAATCGTGGTTACGAGAGGAATCTGTAAACAGTTGAATGATGCCATATGTTCTCTTAAGGAAAGACTTATGAGAGGGAATTATGGGATGGTAAAATTAAAAGATAAACCGAGTCAAGTTATCATGTAGTTAATTAGTAAATAAGTAGTTCTGAATCATTAGAATTACATAAAGAAATAAAATCAGTATGTTACCGATGGCGTTAACTGGTTTAATGATCTCGAAAGTCAAAATGCCCTCCAGATTTTTGTCACTGCTCGATCAAGAAAACCTTTATAATGCCTATGGGGCATAAATAACTATTCCGCTTCTCAACCAACTTGCTGTTATGACTTAAGTCTCTACCCGAGATCTGAATCCGAGTCCCGAAATCGTGAATACGTATAGAAAATTCGCCTGCAGCCTTGGAATATGCAACCTGCGGTACGCATGTGTGTTATAACGCTCGGGTTGCATACTTCCCCCGAAAACAAAATGGTTGCAAAGATCTCTGTGAAATTCGTAATAGTTATATCACTATTTTTAGCTATGATTAATTAAACGACCATTTGGAATAAGTATATAAGTCAATATAAGTCACTTTACATACGTAATACTTTTCAGAAATCTCGAAAAAGACAAGTACGATTGCCTCTATTGTTGATGGACGTGGAACTTCGTATATTGATATTAATCCTTCTCTAGTATAGGATCTGTTTTCAGTGGTTTTACATGTAGATAGATGGTATCCGTCTAAACTAATGTGCATAAAACATAAAACATTACTTTGATTTACTCACTTCTTCACATCGATCGTATTTCATAAAATATAACTATTGGGAGATAATCGTATTCTCATTTCATTCGGTTTTTGGGACTTGAGAACAGAAAATTGAGTGATAAACCCAACTCTCCCAGGTGTATTCGTATTGGAAGTTGAGAAGTTATCAGTGTTATGATTCCATTGAATGGACTCTTTCAGGTTGTTTTTTTAATGAATTAATGTTCGTAATTGTATCAATTAATGTTGCATAAGTAGTTAAATCATAGTGAGTGATTTAGAAGAATAATTGGTTCCTTTGTATCGGATGTCTTTGAGTTATTCTTTACTAGCAATTCTCAATTTATTTCAAGACGCCTTTGTAAGTAAGTTGTTGTGAGTGATTACATAGTAATTTTGAGAATCAATATCAGTGAATGACTGCTTTGCAAAGAGTCTTTTTGATTGATTGACAAACGAATTTTCATTACATGCCTTTGAATAACTGCATTTGTGAGTGAATCATTATGAGTGATATTTTCAAAACAAATATTGTGTATCAATTTTAGTAAACGTTTAACATGAACCAATTTTTTTCATGTAATAATATAGGAGTATACCTTTAGAATTGAAATTAGTAAACAATCCCATTTTAACGAATTAATGCTCGAAGCACTTTACAAACGAATTTCTAGAATAAGTATCAGTTGATTATTCATTTATAAAGAATCTTTGCAAGTCATTTTTGCATACGAATTATAAGATTCAAAATTAGTCTACTATTCCTTTGTAACGAAATTTTGCGCAAAACTCTTCTAAAAACTCTTGAGTGAAGAATCTTGCACGTCATTCTTACAAACGTGTATTTACAATCGAAGTTAGTGAACGATTCCTTTGTAATTAATCCTCTCGCGTTATTCCTCAGATGCGTTAATAATCGTCTAACGAATCTTAATAATCGAAATTAGAGAACGAATCTATGTGACGAGTTGTTTGTCAAGAATCTCGCGTCATTCTTACAAACGAATCTCATGAGCCGAAATTAGCGAATGATTCCTTTGAAACAAATATCCACACGTAATTCTTCACGAATGAATCTAACAAGTACAGAATCGTTGCGTGTCATTTTTTTTCAAACGAATCTTACGAATCAAATTAGTGAAATATTGCTTTGTAACGATTCTTCACGAATCTCACGAGTAAAGAATCAACGTATGTCATTCTTACAAGCGAATCGTAACAATCAAAATTAGTGATCAATTTCTTTGTAAGGAATCTTTACGATAGATTTCTCAAGAAACGCGCGTGTAATTCTTACAAACGAATGTTAAAAGTCAAATTAAGTGAACGATTCCTTGGTAACGAATCTTCACGAACGAATCTCGCGAGTGGTGGCGCGCGCGGCTGCTTTGCAGGCGAGGGCGAGGAGGGCGAGGGCGCGTCGCGCGCCGCCACCCCCGCGCCAGGCGCGGGCGGCGAGGAAGGGGCGGCGGCGGGCGGCGAGGGCGGCGAGGGCGACGCG